AGATTTGGCAGTTTCTCTCAAACTAACATGTTATTTGTCAATATAATTATTTATCTCCAGGCGGTCTATAATTTAAACTTTATTGTTGTCAACATTCGATAAAGAAATAACTTGTTATGGCCTAGGCCGATAAAAATTTTTATGAGGCAAGTAATTAGTTCGATTTTTTCTCGCTAGGGGTATTGTTTTGACAAATTAATCCTTTTCTAAAAAAATAACGTACTAAACTGGTTTAATTTATTTATAATAAGCACTAATTTGTTTGTTTTACTGTTAATGTTTATTATTTTTCATTAAATTATTGTAAAATTAAATATGAATAATAAAACAAAAAGTGAGGTTAGGATTTGACGTTTCTGTGGATTTCACAGTTGTGTTTTCTTTTTCTACGATTTAAATTATCGTTAAGTTTTAATTTGCTTTAAGATTTCAGTGAAATTAAATGTTAAACACAGCGTAAACATTCTAAACTACCTATTTTTTTAATAAAAATGCAAAGAAATTGAAATTAGATACCTATTTATTAAACAATTAATTGAATTCAATGTAATAGCAAGAGGGTAAGTAAACCATTTTCTTACAAAAATCCATTTCTACTTACATCATGTAGCTAGGTATTGTCAAACTATTACTGCTTCTAAAAGGAATAATAATTATTATACATTTAATGTAATCTTTAGCTAATAAATAAATGAGATTCTAAAAAAGTGAGGTTAGGCCGCTTTCATGTTGAATTAAATTGACCTATATAAAGCGCTTTGAAGATAAAATGTTGTATGCCATTCGGCCAAGAAGTGTCTTTTTGAGCTTAGCACAAAAAGCCTTACTTCTTAACCTAATGACATAAATAACTATTATTTTCGCCTTCTTAGTAAATGACATTTTATAGGTTAATTTTGTTAATTTTGTTTTTGTATCCAAGTAAACGATACATTATAGGAACAGACCTGTTATATTTTACGGGCTTGTATAAAATACCTGTAAAGTTTTACAGGCTTGTAGAAAAGCAATTTATGAAATGAAATGTCAGATTTGACACAAACTTCCAGCTCGCCCGTAAAGATTCATTTACAAAGCTTGACACGTAAATAACTATTAAAGGCTGACAAATCACATACTTAACAGATGGAAAATTTAAACGGATTCATTATAGTATAATTTGTATCAAGTTTGATAAACGCCATTTTATACACGAATTTAATTTAGGCACGAGCGAGCTTGCGAGCGAGTTCTTAAATTAATGAGTGTATAGAAAAGTTTATAAACGAGGTGCATACTATACTTTTTCTACGACAAATACTTAACATTATCTTAAAATGATTTAAATCAAATATTTTATAGAGCGCCATCTATGAAACAATAGGGAAATCTGTGTGTCACCGTCAAATGTCAAATTTTATTAACACAGATTATAAAGGTTATAAATCGAAATGTATTTCTTGAAAATTGACAGTTTTTTACAGTGAAAGTAAAGAAAATGTTTTATGAGCACTTTACAGTAGAGTCTGTGCCCGAATTTGAGTTATAGTTTATTGCCGGCGAAATTAAAAGGTCAGTACAATGTTCATATAAACTTTTCAAATATTGGCGTTGAGAAACTATTTAATACTTTTTTATTTTTGTATTGAGATAATAAAATAATTTTTACATTTAGTATTATTCAGCCCGTAATTAAAAACCTGTTGCTAACTTCAGCCCGTGACTAAAACGCCGTAAAGCTACAACTTGTCAATGTGTATTTTAAAGGTCACTTAGTGTCATGGAAACATGTACAATAATGGTCGTTTTAAAGGTGGGAGTAGAAAAAATATTGTAAATGCAAAAAAATCCAAAAACAAACCCTCGTATCGACTTGTTTGTGTCGTAGAGAGCGCCCTTTACAATGTACATCAAAATTATTAACAAATTCAAATTTCTCTGCCAAAAAAAACCCAAATTACAAAATTGTATGCAAAAATATTGACTTAAAAATAAGTTAATTACCATTAACTTTTGACTTATTAGCTTAAGCAAGTTTGATCAAATAATTATTGTAAAATTATATAGGTACTTAAATAGATAAAAATATAAATTATCATTTACCGGTAAAATCAATGACATTCAACTGTTTTAGAAAATGTTAAATGCAAAAGATAACTTTTAACAGTTCATTTCTTATCTACTAATCCCTCCATAAAATCTTCTAAATATAACTCCTAACCGCAATTTTAGCACTGCAGCGCTAACCAAATACACGTGCCTTGAATCTCTTACCATTAATCTCGGAAAAAATGCGTCAAATGAACAAAACGGACACTCACCATGCATTCTCGCTATAAATATAACGAAACGGTATATGTCACTTTCTTCGCAAGAAGAATATAAATGGCGTGTGATTTAAAAATAATTGCGGCTATTTCCAGTTAAAAGTCTTATTTACGCAAACCAGTTTCACAAGAGTCATCCAACTTTAGCACTTTCCAAACAATAATTATACATACGTAGTTTTTCGATTAAACTAATGGGACAATAAAAAAGATTTAACTTATACAACTTAAAATTATTAAAAACTAAATTTAATGATATATCTACAAAACTTGAAAGATTTTTTAAATAATATTCGATGGAAACTTAATTTATTTCGCTTGTGCTTAATAAAACTCGTAACTAAAATGGCGTTTATAAAACTTGATACATAATACTATTACCAAAATACCAAACAAATCAATTTTAATTTGTCATTTTTTGATTGTTGGTACACGGAAAATAGAACACAGGAAAAATTACAATTCAAATTGTAAAAACTGTCTTCGAAAGGAAAAGTGCAAACGTCGCAACGTTATTAGGTAATTCTTTAAACTTAAATAGCAATAAAAATATCACAATGTAGAGCGCAAGTTTTACAGTTTTAAAAGTTATTTGAGCAAAATTAAATTGGAAAATATTATTGCCTTTTTATTCCTGAAATTATCGTCTTTTAACGACGGGTAATTAGTATTAAAAACTGTAAAAAATAAAGTTTCCCGGTGAAGTATTCATTACAATTTCAAATAATATAATTCCTAATCTCGCCGAATAAAAATGTGGAAGTGTTCAGAAAATAACGGGAATTGTTAAATTTCGCGGGTTCGGAGGGTCCGGTTGTCATAAAAAAATTTAGTATGTTGGTATACATGCCCCCAAAGTATGATAAAAACTTTAGCTATTTTCATTGTTTACTTTAAAGACAATTGTCTGTGGCAGCCGCTAAGGTTAGACGTGTTTTATGAGCTCGGCGATTTTTCGTTCGTTAAAAGAAATGGATCAAAAAATTTGTATCCAATTTTGATTAAAAAATGAAATAAATTCTAAGAAATGTTAACAAAGGCCTATAGTGAGTCTGCTATAAGTAAAACAAGAATTTACAAGTGGTATGAAGGCGTTGAAGATGACGAACGCCCCGAACAACCGATAAAAACATGGAAAAAGTGGAAGAAATGGTTAAAACCATCAGAGAAGTCGCTGATGATGTTGGTATATTGATTGGCTCATCCCATGAAATTTTTTCGCATGTTTTGGGTATGAAACGCGTGGCAGCAAAATTTGTTCTAAAATTGTTAAATTTTGAACAAAATTTTTGGCCAAAAACAATACTGTAATGATGCCCCAGCCTCCATATTCGCCAGACATGCCTCTGTCTGATTTTTTCCTATTCCCAAAAATAGAACCTTAAAGGGCCGTCGTTTTGCAAGCATAGATGACCTTAAAAGGGCATCGCTGAAAGAACTAAAGGCTATTCCAAAGATCGAGTTTTAGAAGTGTTTCGAGTATTAGAAGAAGAGCTGGCACATGTGCATAATATTCAATGGGGACTATTTTGAAGGCGACAACATTAATGTAGACGAATAAATAAATATTTGTTTCAAAAAGCGAAAATTCCCGATATTTTCTGAACACACCTCGTATATATATATTAAAATTTGCCTACAGGCATACATGTATAAAACCAAAATTTTTGGAAAAAAAAATAGTATACTTTTTGTTTCTAATAGTTTATTTTAATGTTTTAAGACTTAAGGATTTATTAATTTAAAAATGTCAGTATCAACTACCTAATTAAATGTTTGTCTATAGAACTTTTCTTAATTTTTTTGCATTTAAACAGTAAATGTATTATCTTTTAAATATACATATAACCGCATTTTTTGTAATTAGTTGGTTTTCACCTTAAAAAGATAATTTTAATTAGTACTAAAATTATAATTATACAGGAAAAAACCTACTTGTATACATCTAAATATCTACAAATATTTTTTTACTTGCGTATCATAATAATCAACATCGCACCAATTATATTTCCACTATAATAAAGTTTTCTTACTTTGTCGGACAAAGTTTGTCCTAGGTATACCACAAAATTTTACAAAATATTTCCATTTAAGTGACCATATTAAATAATAAATTAAATGGATATTAAACTAATTATTATTAGTTTAATATTCATTTATCTTATTAAACCGATTTAATTTAATACTTAATACATACCACAATTTGTTTAAAAAACAACTTTAATCATTCCCGATACCAACAACACAAGAAACATTAATATCTTAGCACTCGAAAATATATTAACTAATCTATTCACTGAATGAAATTACTTAATGAGTTTTATTTTAAGAAATATAACAACTGCATCGCATCACTCAGGTTTCACTGAATTTACTTGATGTAAAATGCATAAAATAAACATACTTAAGTTACATACAAAGAAAAATCCCACATTTAATTTTGTTTTTGAAATATTTATGCAAATCACACCTGTGGATTGTTTAATTTTTGAGGTTAGAATTATAAACAGTGAACAAAGAAATGTATATATAAGTCAGGGGAAATAATAGTGAAGGCCTTAGAAGTAAATTATACAAAAATAATATTATAATGGTTATTTACCTAAATATCTGGTATCTACTTATTGTATAGAAGAAAATAAACAATGTTTTTTTATAATTTTAATTTTGTAATCTGTGCAAAACTTTACTTACATTTATGTATTGTGCAGATTTTATAAATTTAAATTTTCCTTGAAAAATAAACTTTTGTTCTCAACACAAAACCAAAAATTCTCGTTTTAAAACTTGTTTCTTACGTAGTCCTTGCACTGTGTAACTTAAGTCGGCTTGTCGGCTAGCACAGAACATAAGTCGGCAAGTGAGACGGAAAATGTTGACTTAAACGCACGAAAATTGAACCGTTTAAATGGTTTTATAAATATACGCATGCACGCATGTCTAAATTAATTTTCTGGGACATGATTATTGCAACTGTCGAGAGATTAGGTTTCGTTACAAATTTAGTTTTATTTGATTGATGTGGACTTTGGTAAAGTTTATTTATTGGAAGTTAACTGTGTTGCATATGTTAAGAAATGCGTTTTTGGTGTTTTATGCGCATGCACCTGTTGTGACCTACCTGTGATTTATTTATAAATTTATTATTGTGGTTTGTATTTTTTATCAAATAAAATTAAAATATTGGATTAAATTGTTTTATTATAATTTGTAGATGATAATAATTAAATAGTTAACATATTAAGATTTGTTTTAAAATTAATCCCGGTGCATTCGCCATTTTTGGAAATAATTTAATTAAATCAATGTTCATTGTTTATTCTCACAGAGTGTATTGCCAAAAATTTATGGTATAAATAATTATTATACGTCTAAGTATACTATAACAGTAAAATTACTGTTTTATACCCATACACGTACCCATACAGTTATTTTTAATATGAGTTGTAACTTGTAAGCAAAAAATGGACACGTAATGCCTATTGTTATGTATTGTGGGTGAATCTCACAAAATGTCCCCGATGGTTACCCCGTGATATTTAATAAAACTAAATGAGTTTGACCTACACTTTTATTGTGTTTTGATCTTTCATAATTAAGTAGATATTACAGCTCAGGTTCCAGATTTTTAACCGCAATTAATTATTTTTTACAATGTTTTAAAAGTCTAAAACCTATCCTCCGTGAATGTTACTCTTTCAAGGTTAACCTATATGTTTTCAAATATCTGAGGTACTAAAAGCATACTAAAAATATCAGTTCACTAAGTAAATTAAACACATCCAAAGCAATCGAATCAAATATAAAATATTATTAAAAATTAAAAGAAATAATTTTTATAATCATTTATGTAGGTGTTACAAAAATTAATTCTATCCTCCGTGAATCTGTTTTTGCTTTAAATTTTAGGCAACTGGTGGCGTTTTAATAATTTCAAGTAAGCAAAAACCTCTTTTTACGACATTATAGATGCATGTGATTACTGAAGGTCGGTTAGAATTTATATGCAGATGAGAGTGTTGCTGTTTTATAATTCAAAAGTTTAAGTTCATTAATTTGATATTTAAAAACCTATCCACCGTGAAGTGTAATATCTCAGTAAGTAGATTTTTTTATAAATATTTTACGTATGTACAATTGTATTTAAAAAAAATATTAAGTGTCAAAAGATGCAATAACTTATTTCAAATATACAAAGGGATGTTTTAAATAAAAACATACGAAATCGTAACCTCCGTGAAACTCTAATATTCAACATGTATAATTTCTTAAAATTCTTGCATTAGTGCAGAACCACTTATGTTATGTTATTACTAGACCTGGTGGCTTCCCAAAAACCCCATTATAGACTAACAGTGAAACAACCAAAAATAAAAAATAATCATTTTCACTTGGGGGACATCTCAATATATTCACCCAAGTAAAGCCGTACTTTCAGTGTCAACTTAACAAGTTTGTGTTGTGTGTTTTTGCTTAAAAATGTCGGTTTCAATATTAAAATATAATGATGGTTTGTTTTGCATTCGGTTATAAAAGTTATACAGGGTGTCCGGAAATAACGATTCAATAGGAATAGAATTATTAATTTTCATAATGGCCATGCATGGGCTGATAAGGTGAAACATACTTGTATTTTCTCCAAAACGTTTTCATAAACCCCCTTGATGACTTGCCTCTTTAAATATTTTGTACAGGATGTAGGTACTCGACTTTTGAAAATACTATGTTAAAATAATACTTACATTTTTAATTAATAAAATCCCTCCCATCCTTTTTTAATCAGTTAAATATTGTTGACCTTTACTTCCGTTTTCAAAGAATTATAGAAACTTTTGTTTGTTTAGTGTCTAATCCTTTATAATCCTTTTTTCTTAGTAATAAGATAATATTATTATTAAATTGAAACAATTAATTATAAATATTAGATTAGTTTAGATAAAAATTCCCATTTTATCATTTAAATGGAAATTTCCAGACTAAATTTTATTTTAAAATAGTTAAAATATTTCCTGTTAAAATTAAAATTTTACGAATACATTATGGATTAGTAAGATATACAGTGCACCCATTTGTTTTGCGACTCACCCTTGTACATGGTACTATTACTATAAGTTTAATTTTATTTCAATGTTTTTTTCATGGATAACTTGACATAATAAATTTTTGTAGTTAATATTGTGCATTTTACTACTTAAAATTTTTCAATAAAATTTAGTAAAGGGTCGTTTTGAGGGGTGGTGAATCCATACATATACGAGGTGTGTTCAGAAAATATCGTTTTTTGAAACAAATATTTATTTATTTGTCTACATTAATGTCGTCGCCTTCAAAATAGTCCCCATTGAATATTATGCACATGTGCCAGCTCTTCTTCCAATACTCGAAACACTTCTAAAACTCGATCTTTGGGATAGCCTTTAGTTCTTTCAGCGATATGCTTTTAATGTCATCTATGCTTGCAAAACGACGGCCCTTTAAGGTTCTCTTTATTTTTGGGAAAAAGTCAGACAGAGGCATGTTTGGCGAATATGGAGGCTGGGGCATCATTACAGTATTGTTTTTCGCCAAAATTGTGTTCAAAATTTAACAATTTTAGAACAAATTTTGCTGTCACGCGTTTCATATCCAAAACATTCGAAAAAATTTCATGGGATGAGCCAATCGATATACCAACATCATCAGCGACTTCTCTGATGGTTTATAACCATTTCTTCCACTTTTTCCATGTTTTTATCGGTTGTTAATGTGCTTGTGCGTTCGGGGCGTTCGTCATCTTCAACGTCTTCACGGCCATCTTGGAAACTCTTATACCACTTGTAAACTCTTGTTTTACTTATAGCAGACTCAGTATAGGCCTTTGTTAACATTTCACAGAATTTATTTCATTTTTTAAGCAAAATTGGATACAAATTCTTTGATCCATTTCTTTTAACGAACGAAAAATCGCCGAGCTCATAAAACACGTCTAACCTTAGCGGCTGCCACAGACAAAGTAAACAATGAAAACAGCTAAAGTTTTTATCATATTTCGGGGGCACGTATACCAACATAATAAATTTTTTTTATGACAACCGGACCCTCCGAACCCGCGAAATTTAACAATTCCCGTTATTTTCTTAACACACCTCGTATGTACATTGTACAAACTAGGTATATATTTTTAAAACCAGAAGAAAAACTTTTTAAATATTTAAAAATATACATTGTGTTTTATAGTTTCAATGCCATTTTATTAAATTTGCCGATGCTTTTTTGTTTTTTAAAAATTACTTTTTTAAACTCTGCAAGGTGGATTTTAAATTTTTTCGATATCTCTTCTAATAATGATTTTTTAGGGGTGTCCCATTTATAAGAAAATACCCTTATTCTGAATTATTTGGATTAAATGTATGGCCTCATAATGTGGCTTTTTAAAAAGTATGTTTACCATTTTAAAAATACTAAGTATTTTTTACAAACGTGTATCAGATAATATGTATGAAGCTTAAAATATTATTCTAACAATGATATATTTAAAGGGATTAGCGAAAAACTAAACAATAAGATTAATACCTAATCTTAGATAATTTCCAATAAAAAATACTTAAATAAATAATACACCTTTGTCGCATTTAAAATTGAATACCTACTGATAATGTTAATTTATTTTTAGCAGACTCAATTCTTGTTTTAAATTTTTAAGATTTGTTCAAGGTTTTATACTTTCAAATTTCAACATTTAATATTAAGATAAAATTAATTTAAATGTTATATCTTGCATGTTTAAAAAATAATAAAAATAAATAGACGGGAACTTTTAGATATTTTTTATTTTCAGTGTAAATTTATTATAAAAGTTTAATTTAGGTATATTTAGCAAAATTGTAAAAAAATACATTTTCTTAATCCTTACATAAGTACATAATTATTATAATAGTATAAAACAATGGTATTTAAACATTCGTTCGTAGCTGGCAAAATATTTGTCTATTGTTACTAGATAAAACATATTTTAAATTATTGTATATCGTTAAAAATAAATATAAAACAGGGTTTTACATTCAGTCAAGAATTGCATTATCACATTTAAAACAAGGAAACTTAACCCTTAAAAAGCGATTTATAAACAATGAAATTGGAATTCCGATTAATACAAGTAGATTTACTTTCGTTTATAAAGTCAAGGACGGTTCTTACTTACTTTCACTTAGTCCGCACGTAGAGGAATTTAACACGAAACATATTGTTAATGTTTGCCATTAACGCCGTTCAATTTATTTTCCGGCAGCAACTGGATTGCTCCTTTGTTGTTATAGGTCACGCCTTTGACGATGTTCTCCAAGTTCTCCCCTGCATAGGACAGCAGGGGGGAAATTTCCACTTCCCCGGCCTCGATTCTTCCCCCGGCCTTCTCGACGTAGGCCCTATGCAAAGCCAGCAAGTCGTTTCGGGCCGTCATCGGGCAGTCCTTACCTGCCTCATCAGAATTTTTGAGAGCACTGAACTCTTCATTGCGAGGCACCTCCCAAATCACGAACTTCTCGGCGAACTGAAACACATCGAAAATGAACTTCTCGATTTTAATACCATTGGCTTCCACCGGTGTCACTTTTTTTCCCAGCGCGTTGGTGTAAGGGATTTTTTTTATAGCCACGTGAACCTTAATATCATTGAGACATTCATTAACGACTTTGCGTAGGAACGAGGTGGAGAAAAAGTGGTTGCAGATGTTACCGGCGTTGAATTTCAAATCCCCGTTTTCGTTCTTCAGTAGGGCGGTTTTTTCCGTTATTTCGCTGTACTCCACGACCTGATATTTACCATCCACTTGACAAATAACGCCGACAGGTTCGTTGGGGTTGGCTTTTTTCACCACTTTGGCACCGCATTCGGCCTGCTTGGATACACAATAACCGATGAAAACAGGATCGGCCACTTTAACCAAAATATTATCGACGCTGTGCACATGCACGTATTTAACCCCGCGCTTCTCCATATCGTTGAGGATGCCGTGTTTGGCTAGAGCTTTGTAGATACCGCCGTTTCCGTCCGGAGCGAAGGCAACGTGGTCTTTTTCGTTCAACAGTATTTTCCCTTCGAAATCGTAGCAAGGAAGCAGCCCTTGCTGGAAGAGGATGACGTCCTTTTCGTTCAGGTCGAAGTAGTTTTTAGCGACCAAGAATTTATGGGTTGTTCTATCCGTGGGCCCGCTGGTCATGATGTACCACGGTATGGTGCCGAACTTTCCGTACTTTTCCTTTGCCAGGGCGGTGACGCGTCTGATTCTCTCTGCTTGTATTTGGAACAGGGTTTTTCCCGACGGTAGCCCAACCGAGAACATCCCCTTTGGGTTGTCGGAACCCAGCCTCGTGCCTTGCCCTCCCGCTAGCAGTAACACCGCCACTTCGTTGTTGGATATAGCTTCCAAACCGATTGAACGGTACTCGTCCAGAGTTTTGGCACAAACTTTTTCCTCGGACTGATACTGCGTCGCCGGGACAGGAGTCATAAAATCATCCAGCTTCTTGATATCCGACTCCATGGATTGCTTGGCCTTCTTGAACAGGAAATTAGCTTCTTCGAAGTCGATTGCGTTGACGTGTTTAACAAACCCCAGCTGCTTCTCCCGATCCAGCAGCTCCCAAGTGGCCAGCAACTGCTGCTGATTGTACCCGTTCAATTTTTCCTTGATTTCGTTGAGAGACGACGACATGTCTAACGCTTTTGCGGTGAGGAGTATTAGATGGCGAGTAACTAACTGATACCGTCGCGTTGTCTTACTATCACTTTATTTAACGTAAACAACACGAAAACGTAATTGAGCGACTAGTAGCCTTGTCTTTCTTTTCGAATTTATCCGGCCAATCAGTGGCGTAACCTGGCGTTAACTTAAGCTGGTATTGGCGCGGGTTTAACGCACACCGATTTATATAGATCGCTTATCGATTCATTAAACGTTTTTTTAGTCTATTGCAATCTTTCAAGTTTAGTTTAGAGTAGTATACTAAATGTACCAAGTTATTTTGCTATTTTTTGTGAAAATACCTATTAGGTAGGTAAAATTATTAAATAAGGGGTCTTATCTAATGTATGCACAATTTTATTTTAAAACATATTTACAATGAAATTACGTGTTATAATAAAATAACCATTTAAAACGTAATAATAATTAATTTTTATATAAAATGTATGCATTATAAAATTATCAAATTTTATTCATAAAATTGGCATAAAGGAAATCTTATCTAATCTTTATGATTGATACTTTAAACTTTATTTTTTAATATAACTATTGTCAACTATTTTTGTATTTTTTAAGTTGACTTTACTCGAAAAATTGTTAACATTAAATGGCCAAAAGAATTTTAAGCATGGAAAGGTAGGTACAATTCTATAACAATAGTTTTAAAATTATTAAGCAATAAGTTTAAAAAAGTTTACATAATGCACATTGGTTGTAATAAAACCAATTTAAATTATATAGCTAAGAAATACTTTAACACATTATCTAACCAAAAATTAAAACTTAATAGTATATTATGTATCAAGTTTGATAAACGTCATTTTATACACGAATTTAATTTAGGCACGAGCAAGCTTGCGAGCGAGTGCCTAAGTTAATGAGTGTATAGAAAAGTTTATAAACGAGGTGCATACTATACGTTTTCTACGACAAATACTTATTATTATTTTAAAATGATTTAAATACAAATTTTTTATAGAGCGCCATCTATGAAACAACAGGGGAAACTGTTAAATGTCACATTTTTACATTTTATAAACACAATTATAAAGGTTATAAATCGAAATGTCTCTTGAAAATTGACAGTTTTTCACAGTGAAAGTAAAGGAAATGTTTTATGAGGACTTTACAGGTGAATCCGTGCCCGAATTTAAGTTATAGTTTACTGCCGGCGATATTAAAAGGTGAGTACAATGTTCATATAAACTTTTCAAATATTGGCGTTGAGAAACTATTTAATATTTTTGTATTTTTGTATTGTGATAATAATAGTTATTTATGTCATTAGGTTAAGAAGTAAGGCTTTTTGTGCTAAGCTCAAAGTTTGAAGGCCGACGCGTAGCGGAGGCCTACAATTGAGCGAAGCACAAAAAGACACTTCTTGGCCGAATGGCATACAACATTTTATCTTCAAAGCACTTTATATAGGTCAATTTAATTCAACATGAAAGCGCCCTAACCTCACTTTTTTTAATCTCATTTATTTATTAGCTAAAGATTACATTAAATGTACAATAATTATTATTCCTTTTAGAAGCAGTAATAGTTTGACAATACCTAACTACATGATTTAAGTAGAAATGGATTTTTGTAAGAAAATGGTTTACTTACCCTCTTGCTATTACATTGAATTCAATTAATTGTTTAATAAATAGGTATCTAATTTCAATTTGTTTGCATTTTTATTAAAAAAATAGGTAGTTTGGAATGTTTACGCTGTGTTTAACATTTAATTTTACTGAAAACTTAAAGCAAATTAAAATTTATAGATAATTTAAATCGTAGAAAAAGAAAACACAACTGTGAAACGTCAAATTGCAATGTCCTAACCTCACTTTTTGTCTTATTATTCATATTTAATTTTACAATAATTTAATGAAAAATATTAAACATTAAAATGTTATAACAGTAAAACAAACAAATTAGTGCTTATTATAAATAAATTAAACCAGTTTAGTACGTTAATTTCTTAGAAAAGGATTAATTTGTCAAAACAATACCCCTAGCGAGAAAAAATCGAACTAATTACTTGCCTCATAAAAATTTTTATCGGCCTAGGCCATAACAAGGTATTTCTTTATCGAATGTTGACAACAATAAAGTTTAAATTATAGACCGCGTGGAGATAAAATAATTTTCACATTTCGTCACCTGAGAATTATAGTGTTCTATCTGCATTTTTTTTTAAATTGAGGTCAGTCTTGTTTTAAGTCTTAAAGATGCATATTGTTTTATCTATATATAATTGGGGTAGAAATTGTAAAGTTTAAGCCTTAAACTGTACAGTTTCTACCCCAATTATATATAGATAAGAACAATATGCATCTTTAAGACTTAAAACAAGACTCACATCAATTTAAAAAAAAATGCAGATAGAACACTATAATTCTCAGGTGACGATTTAGTATTATTTTACAAGAAAGGCACTTTATTTTAACGATTGTATGACATTTGACAACTTTCAACTAACTTCAGCCCGTGACTAAAAACCTGTTGCTAACTTCAGCCCGTGACTAAAACGCCGTAAAGCCACAACTTGTCAATGTGTATTTAAAAGGTCACTTAGTGTCATGGAAACATGTACGATAAAGGGCGTTTTAAAGGTGGATGTAGAAAAAATATTTTATTCAAAAATTATAATAACTTTGTTATTATTTAAAAAATATAGTAGACAGTTATCGAACACTTTATAGTTATTGGACAATAACATTAATACTGTAAAAACAAGAGTTCTATAAATAGTTCCTTAAAGTCAAATCATTAGATACAATTATATATAATATAGAACTATTTTATTTTGGTCCAATATAGGACAAAAAAGTTCGCACGTTACTTTGGTGGTAAGATTTTTGTTTTTGTGTTAAGAGCAGGGCTGTGTTTAAATTACAATAAAAAATATTTCTAAGAAGTGTAAAGATCAGTTGTGTGGTATAAATGTGTTCCTTATGGTTTAAACATTGTCACTTTAATGCGTTTTAATTTTTATTCTGAAAACAAACAGTAAAATGGCCAGTGTCCAATTACTGGTTGGTAAAAAATGTAAATTTATATTATTGAATCCTGAATTCCTATAGGAATTGATTGCTAAATGTCCTGGATACAAATTGCTGTTGACGAGAATTATTAGTGGCTGCTTTTTCGCTATGACATTTTTGACTTAATAATTAATTAATTTTTAGAGAGTAAGTAATATAGTGATTTTTTCATCAAAGGACATCTTGCAGAAAAACATGATTTAAATACAGTGCATGATGGAGAACATGGGCGCCGCTACATAGGGGCAGGGGGGGGCCCGGGCCCCCCCCTGGAGATTCATACTCAGAAATTCCGGTACTCCATAATTTGACGGTAAGTGTTGATCGTTATCATTTGTTCATTATTTTTTAGATAAATTAGATTTGTTATCTTAGATAATTTAACTTAGATTTGTGCCGTCTTAATGAGCACTAGTGTTGTTAAATGGCTGGCTGTTCAAAGAAATCAGAAGCACAGTTTACTGATTTCGTTCATAATCCTATGGCGAAGAAACCAGAAGCCACAGATCCCCGGACAACATTCGTGATATTCATACCAACATCAAGTCGTGATTTTCACAAGTTTTATTCTTACTGATATCATACGGAAGTCACCGTGTGATAAATGAAAATCATACGAACGTCACGTCGTGATTTCCACAAATTTTATTCATACGGACATCATCCGGATGTCACTGCGTGAGAAATGAAAATCATGTCGTGATTTTTATGCCATCGCTGTTTGGATAATCATTTTTGCGCCACGTTCGTACACTAAGAGAAGAATTATGTTGAATCAACAGTTTTTCCGGTTAAAAACATTAAATATTTTCTTGGATTTAAATTTACTATATTATAGTTAATTTAAATCCAAGAAAATATTGAATGTATTTAACTACAAAAACTGTTGATTCAATATATATGTAGGTATACTTTTTCTCTCAATGTACGAATGTGGCGCAAAAATAAATATCCAAACACCGATGGCATAAAAAATTACGACATGATTTTTTATGCCATCGGAGTTTGGATATTCATTTTTGCGACACATTCGTACATTGAAAGAAAAAGTATGTTAACAATTGAATCAACAGTTTAACATTCAATATTTTCTTGGATTTAAATTAATTATATGTAGTTAATTTAAATCCAAGAAAATATTAAATGTATTTAACCGCAAAAACTGTTGATTCAACATAATTTTTCTCTTAGTGTACGAACGTGGCGCAAAAATGATTATCCAAACACCGTTGGCATAAAAAATCACGACATGATTTTCATTTCTCAAGCAGTGACATCCGGATGATGTCCATATGAACAAAATTTGTGAAAATCACGACGTGACGTTCATATGATTTTCATTTATTATGCGGTGACTTCCGTATGATATCAGTATGAATAAAATTTGTGAAAATCACGACGTGATGTTCGTATGAATATCACGAATGTTGTCCGGGTAGGTTTTAAATTCGCAGTTCGCAGGTCTAATACGCATGCGCAAATTTTGCAAATATCACACCGTGAGTTCTACATGATATCACTGTGATGAAGCATGTGTATGAACTCAGGATATCACAGCGTGATAAAAAAAATCACGTTGTGATATCATCATGACTTCACCAGGAAATCCCGATTGTTTTCCGGGTCATTATGTTCATATTCCAAAGATCTTCGATGGAATCTTATATACGAGCAATAAGGTTCATATCAATTTTGATTTGGAATCCAAGGGGTTTTAGCTTAAATAAAACTTAAAAAGTGAAATAATCCGGAAACTGTTCTTGAATTAATGAAATAAATATTTAAAAATAGAGGATTTATTTATGGATTTAGGATTTAAATCCTTTTTTGCAAGTGGATTTAGGATTTATGATTTAAATCCAGATAACGTAATGGATTTATGATTGAGGATTTAGATCCAGTTTATGGTGTGGATTTATGGATTTAGATTTAAATATAAATATACATATATTAAATGTAAACATACATATAAAAATGATATTTTATTTGACTTAAGTTTAATGTGAACTTCTACAGTACAACTTGATTATAAATAACATCTATCAAAATTGTAAAAAACTTTAAGGCCCCCCCCTAGACGAATTCCTTCCGGCGCCCATGATGGAGAACATAAAAAACTAATTAATAAATTCGGAAAA